CGCCAGCCGCGTGGGTCTCAGGCCCTGCAGAGCAGTGGGTGTGCACAGGTGAGCAGAGGAATGCTCTGCAAGTTGCTTTGCCCTCTGAGCTTCAATTTCCTCAATTTCCTCCTGTAAAGTGGGGATGATAAGTCCTACCTCTAAGGACGGCTGAGAGGGGCCAGTGTATGTAAAACGTATGCCGGCAGCTGGTGATAACCTCAGCGTGTGTTAAGTGGTGACCATCATGTTAACGTGAATAAGGCAAGGTAGGGGCGGATCTTAAGAGGCAGGAGTCAGGGCAGCCCGGGTGGCTCAGCAGTTTAGCGCCGCCTGCAGCCCAGGGTGTGATCCTGGAGACCTGGGATCGAGTCCTGGGATCGAGTCCCACATTGGGCTCCCTGCAGGGAGCCTGCTTCTCCCTCTGCCTGCGTCTCTGCCTCTCTCTCTCCCTGTGTCTCTCATGAATAAATAAATAAGATCTTAAAAAAAAAAGTCAGGAGTCACAGCAGCCATGAACCTCAGTGCTGGACAGTGGGAGCCACAGCAGGCTTCTGAGCACAGCCACCCCATTGACTGATGTCTAAGGATGACTAATCTCTTTAGCCTCCAGCGCTGTCCAGTAGAACATTCTGGGCGGGTGGAAGTGCTCTATATCTTCACTACCCATGGGCCTCTGGGGACCAAACGCTGATGTCCTCGGTGGGCCAGTGACCAGTGGGGAAAGAGAAGGAGGCTCCAGGGAGATGAGGGCAGGTCCTAGCCTTGGGAACCAACTTTCTCAGGCACATGCTACCACTCTGTGGGAAAGTTCTTAGGCAGCTGGCAGGGGACTGGGAGCAGGCTGAGTGGGGAGGGCTCTGGAGGAAGGCGAGAGGGCCAGGGCACATGGGCTGGTTGTGGAGCAGGGATAGTGGTAGGGTTCACCACAGAAAGGGCTCCCAGGCATGGGCATTGGGCTGAGGCTTCAGCCAGGCTCCTGCTCCGGAGCTAAGCCAGCAGAAAGAGTAGAGGCCCCAGATCCCTGTGCCCAGGGGGTGGCTGGGGTGCCCCATCTGGCTGGTCCAAGAACTGGCTCCCAGTGTAACTGTGCTTCGCTTTGTGCCTTGTTTTCCTGATCTGTGGATGGGAGCAGCAGCAGCTCCCCCACCTGCACCATGGTGAACAGAGTCCGCCAGGACTTTTCAGTGACTGGGCCACTGGGGCCCTTACCAGGGCTGGCCCTTTAAGCCGACTTGTCTCTGAGGAGTGCTAGGGAGTAGAAGTCCTGGGGACTGGGGGGTTAGGGTACACCAGACCCTCCCTCACCCAGGCCACTCATGCTTCGCCTGGGGTAGAACCCTCAAATCTGCAGCCCCACTGGGTCCCAGGCCCACCTGTTGGCAGGTGCAGGATGCTTGGGGAATCTCATCTGTTTCATTCCCACAAGCATTGTGTGGCTGAGTGAGTAGCTTAACCTCGAAGCTATGAGGAATCTATCTCCTCATTTACAAAATGGAGACTTAACATACCTTCCTCCAGGGGGAGCCCAGGAATGAGCCCCTAATTTCTCCAGCCGTTGCAGGGGCAGTACCTGGCACACTGCAGGTTCTTGGTAAATGTCCACCAGTAGCCTGGATGATGCGTCGGCTGTGGGGTGACATCCCTGTGTATAGGCTTGACCCTCATGGAGCGCTGTCTGATAGACAGGAGCTGAAGGGATGAATAAAATGATGAGAGATGAAGAAATAAACACAGCGTCAGTTGTTTCTTGCATCTTGCCAGAACTCTGGAATTTGTCAGACTCTGTAGCTGCCTCCTCTGCCTGTCTCTCCATGGGGGATCATGGAACCTCACATTGGAAGGACCTTTATTTGGCCACAGAGTCTTCTGATTCCTGAGGTGCTGACTTGCTCTGCTTAACCCCCAAGGGAGGACCTGGAAGCAGTAGCGGAAGCTCCAAGGAGGCTGATTTAGGTCAACAGAAAGCATTTCTACCAGCCTGACGTGCTTGGAATGGGTGGTGCTAAGAATTGGACCAGCAGAGGCCAGATGGTTACTTGGCAGGGGCGCTGGCCTGGGGTGAGGGTTTGGACAATATTCTTACTCCAGGGCCCTTGAGACCCTGGGAGAGGAGCCTGGACCCTCTGTGGGGCTCCAGATTCCCTGGGCTCTGAAAACCAAATGAGTCACTGAGAATGCCCAGGAGGATGACGGGTGCCAGTCAGTAGTAAGCAGCCTTCCAATTGGCTCAGTCCTTTAACAAAGTTGGCTAGGGCAAGGCCTGGCGTGTTCAGTCATGTCATCTGCATTTGGTTGTCTGGCAGGAAAGCTAAATGGAAGGAAAGAAGCAGGTATTTTTAGAGCATCTGCTAAGTGCTGGGCTCCATGCAGGATGTTTTGACACCACGGCTCATCCAGATCTCCCACAGGACTGCAAGGGAGGGGATATCTTCCTTCTCTATCTGAGACTGAGGTCCAGAGAAGCTAAGTAACTTGCCCGAGGGCACACAGTAAAATTACAGCACTGGGGCTTAAACCAGATCTTCCTGATTTCCAGTAACAATGAAAGCCGATGCTCACTGAGCACCCACCATATGCTTAGGCACAGTTACTCTTCTTTTGCATGGATTGACTCATTTGTTCTACGTCTATTTTATAGAGAAGGGAAACTGAGGCCAGCAGAGGTAGGATAATGAGAGGTAGGTCAGAGGCAATGTTCAGATCTGACATTGCAACCACTGTGCCCACCTTGTGTCTTAGGCAGAGTTTGCTGCAAAGATACATCTCCTGCCTCCTCATGGAGATGGGCAGAGCCCTGGGGTCACATGGGATGGAGGCAGGCACTTCAGCTCAAAATCAAGATGTCCTTTCAAGCAGATGAACTAATTGATGGAGAAGTGAGGGTGCATTCAAAGGTGCTCCCAGGCTGGGGTTGTAGAGGGGCCATTTCCTGCCCAAGAGTGGAGACGAGGTGGACTGTGTGACCTCCAGGAATTCCCCCATAGACATTTCCAGGGCGTCCTGAGCACCTAGTAGGTGTCGGACCCTTTTGCTGCTGGATGCAGACCACAACTGGTCCCTTTTCCCAGTTGTAGGAGTTGAGGGCCCTGTTGCTGTTCCAGAACTGAGGACACCAGGGATCAGGTGTCATGAGGCAGGCAGGGAAGGGGGCCAGAGGATGGTGGGCAGGGGGAGTGGCCATTAGGACATGAGCCACTGAACCACAGAGTTGGTTGGCAGGGGCCGGTGAGAGGCTGGTGGAGGGCATTCCCAGGGCTGAGCTAGGACCCTGGTCAGCGCAGGCAAGCTCAGGACCATGGAGAGCGCCACGGGAGCTTCCCGTCACTCCGATGACAGCTGTCAGGGTGTGTCTGCATCTACTGCCAGCCCAGCCAGGCCCACACTCCTAGCCTGTGGTCTCCAGGGAACACCTGTCCTCTCTGACCAGGAGCCCCCCTGGACTGAGCCTGAGCTCTGACCCCGAGATCATGACTGGATTGTGGTGTTTGGGCTCATCTGCTTCCCTGCCTTACCCAATCAACCTTCTAAGCAGAGCCCAAAGAAAAGGCACAAAGAGGAGAAGGAAGAGGTAGGAGCAGGGAGAGAAGGAAGAAAACTTGCCCAGGGGCACCTTATGGGGCATGGCCACAGACTTAAGTCAGCACAAGAAGAGGAGGCCCGGAGTGGGCTGATCCTGCCACTATCCTGGGTCAGGATCAGCCTTAGTCTCCCCCGTCCCTGATTATCTGGCTACCAGGAAGCACCCAGCCCACCCCACCACTTTCATGCAGGAAACATAGGCCCCTGGGGCTGGGTACCACTCACAGAGTGATATATGTGTTGAGGGTTGGGGGGAACTCGGGGAGGCTCCTAGAGGGCCTGAAATTTCTTCCCTCATTTCCCCAGTGCCCCAGGAAGCAGGGTGCTATTTCTCAGCCCCTCCACCATCAGGCCCAGGTTCTTACTAGGCTTCACTTGCTGAGCCCCTTCCCTGCCTCTTGCTCCTCTGAGATAGGACAGTGCCCACCAGGGCCCAGGCTTTGCCAGGGGCTCACCTCCAAGCCTTTGAGCTCGTGCCACATCCCCACCCAAAAGTTCTCTCTGCCAGGCTGGGATATAGCAATAGGAGTAAGAAGACTTAAGGTTTATTTCATACTCATTATGCGCCAGGCACTTTGCATGGATTATTGAACTCTCATTTCATAGATGGGAAAAAAAATGAAAGTTGTGAAGTTGCCCAAGCCTACACAGACAGAAGATGGCAGAGCCAGGATTTGGAGTCTTGTTCCAGAGTCTGTGTGCATGGAAGTGATGGTGAGCACATTGAGGAGGCCCAGGACAATGCAGGGTGCTTTTGTTGAGCACCTGCCGTGTACAGCTCCCTGCCCCAGGGAGCTGGTAGTCCAGCTGAGGAGACAGATGTCAGAGAAGGTGAGCTCAGCATGGTGAGTGTTGGGAACAGGAGAGGACTATGGATTGATCTCCCTGATTTGGTGTCTCATTTGAAGTGGGCAGGACAGGAATGATTATATCCGTTTTATAGATGGGGGAGTTGAAGCTCAGAGAGGCCAAGCAATCTTGAGACTCAGATTCACAGTGGCTACATAAATCCAGAGACTGATGCAGGTTGTCAGGAAGAGGGTTGGGAGAGCTCAGTATGGTTCTTCCAAGTTCTAACCTGGGCAGAAGACACTTGGTTTCAGGAGATGCTGGCCCTGACACAAAGCAAACACCGAAGAAATATTTGGTGAATTTTACTGAAATGAGTAAGGGCATAGGTATGGCCTCTGAGCTGCCTAAGATCATCCTCAGCAATAGGAATGACTGGACAGGGATTTTGCCCTCAGGAAGCTGCCTGTGTCTGTGTCGGCCTTGGAGGGCAATGGGCCAGCCCGTTAGAGACCCAAGTCCTCCCTCAGCTAAAATTGCTTCTCCAGGCAGGTCCTGACCACCTCACCCATCCTGGGGTCCTGAGTTCCTGGAGGGGCTCAAGCTAATGCATGTCAGGAAGCAGGAGGGAGGGGGTGGAGAATGGTGAACTGAACAATGTCCCCCAAACCAGTTCCTCCTCCCAGAGCCCACAAGGGGTCCTCAGATCCAAAGCATTATTCACCACACCCCTCCATCCTGTGAGGTTTCTAGACCAAGCATACTTCTGGAAGGATGTGAGATTTGGATCCAGAGACCAAGGTCAACAGCTAGGCTCTGCCATTAGCCCTCAAGGTGGCTGGCCCCGCCCCTCATCAGCCTCTGTGTTCGCATCTGCTAGGGGGGAGGGCAGGTGAGGGTGAGGACCTGCAGAGACAGCCTGACTCAAAGCCAGCTCTGCAGCTGAGGGGCATCCCCCACCCCAGTCAAAGACTCCATCCTTCTAGGTCCTGACTCCTTGCTCACAGTTCACATCCAAGTCTTCAGCAAATCCATCGGAATCTGAGCGCTTTCTGCACCCCACCCCCAACTGTGGTTCAAGCCGCCCCTTGTCACACCTGGACTATGCCGGGGTCTCCTTGCCGCGCTCCCTGCAGCAACAGTGTACTCTCAACAGAGCAGCTCGAGTGAGTCTGTTCAGACCAGGGTCGGGTCATGTTCCTCCTCTGCCCAGAATCCTCCCATGAAAACCATATTTCCTGCTGAGGCTTCAGGCTCTGCGTGATCTGGACCCATCCCATACATCTCCTGAGCACTGGCTGTTCCTTCTGCCCAGAATCTTCTTCCCCTGCCCCCTGGTCGTCTTCAAGTCTCCCTCTTCTCAGAGAGGCCTGCACTGAGCACCTGCTTGTCACCGAACCCACTCCACCTCCTATCCTTTACCCAGATTTTTCTCTGGAGCACAATTCTTTTTTTTTTTTTTTAGATTTTATTTATTCCTGAGAGATAGAGAGCGAGGCAGAGACACAGGCAGAGGGAGAAGCAGGCTCCATGCAGGGAGCCTGATGTGGGACTCAATCCTGGGTCTCTAGGATCACCCCTGGGCCAAAGCCAGGCGCTAAACTGCTGAGCCACCCGGGCTGCCCAGCACAACTCTTTCTTTTTTTTTTTTTTAATAAATTAATTTTTATTGGTGTTCAATTTACCAACATACAGAATAACACCCAGTGCTCATCCCGTCAAGTGTCCCCCTCCGTGCCCGTCACCCATTCACCCCCACCCCCCGCCCTCCTCCCCTTCCACCACCCCTAGTTCATTTCCAGGGTTAGAAGTCTTTATGTTCTGTCTCCCTTTCTGATATTTCCCACACATTTCTTCTCCCTTCCCTTATATTCCCTTTCACTATTATTCATATTCCCCAAATGAATGAGAACATACACTGTTTGTCCTTCTCCGATTGACTTACCTCACTCAGCATAATACCCTCCAGTTCCATCCACGTTGAAGCAAATGGTGGGTATTTGTCGTTTCTAATGGCTGAGTAATATTCCATCAGCACAACTCTTTCTAATGTGCAGTATTACCTGACTCATTTATTTCTAGTTTATTGCATTTCCTTGCCCTGCTCACCCCTGTGTACGCTGCACGGAGGTGGGCGTCCTCGTCTGCCTCGTCTCCCAGGCTCCCAGGGCTTAGTACAGTGCCTGGCACACAGTGGGCTCTTGATAAGTAGTTGGTGTGTGAGTGGATGATATGGATCAGGTGAGCACCCTGTGGGGGTGTTGTATGGGTCAAAGGTAGTAGTGGCTGTTCCATCTACTGGGTTGTTTTCACTGGTCACCAGTAGATTCTTGGTGTCACTCTATTTGGGTTGCACATGGCAGATGGAAGGGGCTCAGGACAGGTTTACCAGTGGGTGAAAGCCCACTGTCTACCCCTTACTAATTGTATGACACTGGGCAAGTTATATCATCTTTCTGGCCCCAGTGTTCTCACCTGTAAAATGGGAATGATAAAGGTACCTGCTTCACATGGAGAGGATCCAATGATGTCTAGTGTGGAATGTGCTCGGGCCATTCACTGGCTTATAAGCATCAGTGACCATCAGCTTTGTTGTTGCACCTGATGGATTCTCAACAAAGCTTTTTTTTTTTTCTTTTTAAGATTTAATTTATTTATTCACGAGAGACAGAGAGAGGCAGAGGGAGAAGCAGGCTCCATGCAGGGAGCCTGACATGGAACTCGATCCCCAGTCTCCAGGATTGCACCCTAGGCTGAAGGCAGTGCTAAACCGCTGAGCCACCCGGGCTGCCCTCAACAAAGCTTTATAGTGGAAGGAGAAAGGCTGCCAGATGGGGCCTAATTAGGTTCTGTGGATTTAGCCCACAGCTGGGCTGCCTGGAGGGATCCATCTCAGCTGTAAGGAGGAAGGGAGGGAGGGAGGGGTGCCAGGTCCTGACTCAGCCACCTTCCTAATGGCCTTTGGGAAAAGTTTCCCTATCTGTAAAATGGGTGGTTACAGTAACCTTCCAAAATGGATGAGACTTGCATGAGACCTCAGGAGTCAATGCTTTATTTATTCCGTTTCCTATTTATATGCCACACAGTGTAAAAAATATATATATATATATATATTTCAAGTACTTATCAAAATACATGAAGATAAGATTAAAAAAGGGTCAGGCCCAGAAAAGTAAGAGTGAAGCTGAAAGTGAAAGTGTCCCAGAAAATATGGTCTGTGAGGCCCTAGCTTGCTCCAGGCCGACTACCACGTGCTTCTGTCTCCTAAGCAGCCCGAGCAATGAGGGAGCCACACACAGTTCCTTGATTCTCAGCAGCAGGCCAGGCTGGGGCCTTATCACGTGGCCTCAGTCCGAAAGCCCCAGTGAAAGGGAGATCCCAGGTACTGGTGGGTCTGTCCTCCGAAGGGCACATCTGGCCAGGTGTAACCAGATCCTGAAAGCCAGCCTGCCCAGGGAGCCAAGGAGCAGCTGGGTCAGTGTGACCTGGGCGGGGCCATGGCGGCCCTTGGCACTCTGCAGGGCCACTGCTGCCAGGGGAGTTCATCTGAGTGGCAGCCTGGCCCTGCCCTCCACAGCTCATGGGCCAATCCGACAAGGGCCAGGGTCGGTGTGTGTTCCACAGAGGTAGGTTCCAAGTGGGAAAAAATAACCAGAAGGATCAGGACTGCCTTACCAGGTCCTCAGAGCCCCTGGCGGGTCATGCTGGACGCTTCTGCTGTGCCCAGCTCAGTCTGCAGGTTTGCCTTATGCCTGGTCTTGGCCACAGCAAGAACGCCTCGACCCTCTTTTATCGGGCCTCACCCCTTGGCCCTTCCACTCACCCTGCTGGCCTCTACCTGGTCTCACTTGGCCAGGGTAGGGCTGGAATCCATTACAGAGAGAGGAGCCCAGAAGACCTACTTTAAAATGTTGCCAAGGAGCAGCCCCTCCCTCCCGCCTTCTCAAAAGCCAGTGGAGACCAGCCCCCCACCCCCTGCCCTGGGACAGCTGACATTAAGCAGAGGTCCCCACCCCCGATTGTCCTGCCAGACTGCCTTCAGTCAGCTGTGCCAGCCCTGGGGCAGGCTCCAGGAGAGCCTGGTATTCAAACTGGATGGACATGACAGCACCAAGTACCCTGGCCGTTCGCCATTGGTGGCGACTCCATGGCTCATTAGTTTGCTCAGGACTCCCCACCAAGGTGAGGCTGGGAACAGGGTGTAGCCCAGGAGTCAAGCCACCCAGGTTCCTGCCCCAGCTTTGTAACATCAAGCAGGTCCCTGAAGTCCTCTAGGTCCTGGTTTCCTCCTCTATAAAATTAAAAGATTAGAGGAGGTGGCTCTTAAAATTTGTTTTCGATCAAACATTTCATGAATCTGTGCCTTGTAACCACATAGCTTAGAGAAAATTACGTTGGAATCTTCCAGCCTTGAAATGACCGAAGTTTATTAAGCACCTGATGCCCACCAGGAGTGCTGTACCCATTTCACAGGTGTAGTAACTGAGGTTTAGAATGGCAAGGAGCCTTGCTTAAGGTCACAGAAGTTTTTTGTTTTGTTTTGTTCTTTAAGGTCACAGAAGTTTGAGGCCAGGTGTGCATCCTTCCACTCTCCCCTGCTGTATGCAGAGTTAGGAAGTGGAGGGGAGGGTATGGCAGCAAGGCACCCAAATGACCCAGAGAAGTAAGGAGAAGCCAAAGAAAGGAACATCTGAAAGGAAGAATGTTCTACATGGAAGGACAGTGCCTTACTCATGGGGGATCCACGGAAGGGGAAACGATTATACACCAGCGGCCAAAGGCCAGTTTCTATCCTAGCCCTTCCCGAAACTCAGTAGGTCATCCAGGTCCTACTTGGCCCAATGGGTGTAGCCTCCCAGCCTGTCTGCCCACCTCACTGGGCTCTAAGACAAAACAAGCTGGAGGATTATAGTCAGCAGTTCTCTCTTGCTCCACAGGTTCATTTGTGAAATAAGTAGCACACCTGAATAAAGTATAGACTTTAGTTAATCATAATGTGGCCATTTCAATTTTCAAGGTATGACAAGCGTACCATGGTGATGTAAGACACTAGCCCTGGGGGGGAGACCAAGCGAGGAGTGTAAGGAACCCTCTATACTCTCTTTGCAACTTTTCTGATATGTTACGAATATTCTATAATAGAAAGTTCACTTCAATTGTAAAAAGCAATATACAAGGCTCTCCATTCCACAGCCACAAACTAATTGATAAATCGAACTGCTTAAGTGAATAGAGAGAATGGTTATACTCACGAGTCACTCATGAATAGAGAGTGATTCATTCAAAATAACCATGGAATATTGTGTGGGATTTTTTTTTTTATTTAGTTATGATAGTCACAGAGAGAGAGAGGCACAGAGACACAAGCAGAGGGAGAAGCAGGCTCCATGCACCGGAAGCCCGACGTGGGATTCGATCCCGGGTCTCCAGGATCGCGCCCTGGGCCAAAGGCAGGCTCTAAACCGCTGCGCCACCCAGGGATCCCTTGTGTGGGATTTAAAACGAAATGGTAGATCTATTACTACTGATACGAAAATCTCTTATCATTGATCGTGGAAAACAACTTGATTGTAGTTCATGTCCATTAGGTAATATTTATGAAAAATAGGAAATCAAGGACAGAAATCTCGCATATCAAACCAGCAACACACCTTATGCCTGGAGATCGGTAACAGAGGGGAACTTTTACTTATTCTTTTAAGTGTTAGAATTAGATGTGTTTCCTTGAAACCTGTGAATTCTTTCAGTGAAAAGGAATTAGATTTGTCAACATACTGACACACACACACAAAAAAAAAAAAAAAGAAAAAAGAAAGAAAAGCTCCGTGGGCAGGTCAGGGAGGGGACCCATGTTGGCAGCCTGCAGCCCACTCTCCCCCTCCCTTGGGGCAGGTTCTGCACTGCAGAGCTGAGCTTTTCCCAGGCTGCACTGTTCCTGGAGCAAAGTCTAGCGATGCAGCTGGTCTGGTCAGAGTGGGCAGGCCAGGTGGAGGATCAGGCTGCAGAGGGGGTGAGTGTGATGACCTGGTAATCTCTGGGGAAGGAGGGCTGTGGCAACGGGGAGGAGGTCCTGACCAGGAGGGGAATTTCGTCGATGCCTTGCCTTCCCGGGGTACTTGGTACAGTGAGTTGGACTCTCAGGCTGAACTCCGGGGGTGGGGGTGGGTGGGGACAGGAGGTGACTTCCTGCAGGGGCGCCAGGCACCGGCCGGGAGGTGCACAGACTGGGTGGCAGTGAAGGCCTCCTCGGGTTCCCTTCCTTGGGAGAGGGGCCTCAGGCTCTCCTCACCCAGGTCTGCAGCCCCCTGACCCGTCTGCTCTCTCCCCCCTTACTGCAGGATGAAGATGAGACGCTACAAGCTCTTTCTCATGTTCTGTATGGCCGGCCTGTGCCTCATCTCCTTCCTGCACTTCTTTAAGACCCTGTCCTATGTCACTTTCCCCCGGGAACTGGCCTCCCTAAGCCCGAACCTCGTGTCCAGCTTCTTCTGGAACAATGCCCCCGTCACGCCCCAGGCCAGCCCGGAGCCGGGCAGCCCTGACCTGCTGCGAACGCCGCTCTATTCGCACTCGCCCCTGCTGCAGCCGCTGTCTCCGAGCAAGGCCACCGAGGAGCTCCACCGGGTGGACTTCGTGCTGCCCGAGGACACCACCGAGTACTTCGTGCGCACCAAGGCGGGGGGCGTCTGCTTCAAACCGGGCACCAAGATGCTGGAGAGGCCCCTCTCGGGGCGGCCCGAGGAGAAGGCCGAGGGCGCCGAGGGCTCCCCGGCCCGCGGCCCGGCCCGGCACCTGCTGAGCACCCGCGAGCGCCCGGGGGCCCGCGGCCCGCGGCGCAAGTGGGTGGAGTGCGTGTGCCTGCCGGGCTGGCACGGGCCGAGCTGCGGCGTGCCCACCGTGGTGCAGTACTCCAACCTGCCCACCAAGGAGCGCCTGGTGCCCCGCGAGGTGCCGCGGCGCGTCATCAACGCCATCAACATCAACCACGAGTTCGACCTGCTCGACGTGCGCTTCCACGAGCTGGGCGACGTGGTGGACGCCTTCGTGGTGTGCGAGTCCAACTTCACGGCCTACGGGGAGCCGCGGCCGCTCAAGTTCCGCGAGATGCTGACCAACGGCACCTTCGAGTACATCCGGCACAAGGTGCTCTACGTCTTCCTGGACCACTTCCCGCTGGGCGGGCGGCAGGACGGCTGGATCGCCGACGACTACCTGCGCACCTTCCTGACCCAGGACGGCGTGTCGCGGCTGCGCAACCTGCGGCCCGACGACGTCTTCATCATCGACGACGCCGACGAGATCCCGGCCCGCGACGGCGTGCTCTTCCTCAAGCTGTACGACGGCTGGACCGAGCCCTTCGCCTTCCACATGCGCAAGTCGCTGTACGGCTTCTTCTGGAAGCAGCCGGGCACCCTGGAGGTGGTGTCGGGCTGCACGGTGGACATGCTGCAGACGGTGTACGGGCTGGACGGCATCCGCCTGCGCCGCCGCCAGTACTACACCATGCCCAACTTCCGGCAGTACGAGAACCGCACGGGCCACATCCTGGTGCAGTGGTCGCTCGGCAGCCCCCTGCACTTCGCCGGCTGGCACTGCTCCTGGTGCTTCACGCCCGAGGGCATCTACTTCAAGCTCGTGTCCGCCCAGAACGGGGACTTCCCCCGCTGGGGCGACTACGAGGACAAGCGGGACCTCAACTACATCCGCAGCTTGATCCGCACCGGGGGCTGGTTCGACGGCACGCAGCAGGAGTACCCGCCGGCCGACCCCAGCGAACACATGTACGCCCCGAAGTACCTGCTCAACAACTACGCCCAGTTCCGCTACCTGCTGGACAACCCCTACCAGGAGCCCAAGGGCACCGCGGAAGGTGGGCGGCGGAACAGGGGTCCCGAGGGAAGGCCACCCGCCAGGGGCAAATTGGATGTGGTTGAAGGCTAAGGCTGCATGATCTTAGAGGGCCGGTGGCAGGTGGGGGGAGTGGCGGCGGCCCCCCCTGATGCTTCCCTGCCTCCCTCTGCTGTCTGGCTGGTTCTTGAGAGGACCGGGAGTGGATGGGCGGAGGAGTCTTCCCTGCTCAGGCCCTTGGGAATCAAGCAAGGGTCAGGCCTGTGAGCTCACAAAACATCCTTCCTTCCTCATCGGGAGAGGGGAGTCGGGCCCCTCCGTCCACCAGGAGTGCTGTGGCTGGGAGGTGCCAGCGGAGAGTGCATGATGGTTACTGGGTGGCAAGGGAGGGCGGGCAGGGTGGGGAAGGGAACCTGCAGGAACTCCCCAGGGCAGCCAAGCGGGAGCTGCAGCCCCTGCCAGGGAGAAACCTACCATGTGACCTCCTGGGGCTTTGGACCTGCAGCGGAAAAGTGGGCGTGCCAGGAGGTCCTGAGGCTCTGTAAATAGACACATTTGGGTCCAGGAGGGAGAGGGGACACCGAGGAGGGAGGGGATGAGAAACAGCGGCAGGCTGGGAGGAAGCCCAGTGTCCTCAAGAGCTGAGCCGCAGGGAGCTGAGAACTCTGCCCCATGGGCCACCCCTGCGCCGCCGGATAGCACCTGGGGGGTAGGCAGGGGGTCTGCGGAAGCCTGCGGAGTCTTCCTTTTGGTTCCAAACCTGGCCTCAACATTCCTTCTTTCTTTTTATATTTCTGTCTTACGGGCTACCCAGTCAGTCCCTGCAAGGCCAAGAGTCTAGTTCTCAGGGTGGGATGGGAGCCAGAGACTGGACCATCAGGCAGCCTAGTAGGTGGGGCCTGGGAGGGGGCGTGGGGGTGGAGGAGGTTCCCAATCACCCCTTCCCACTGGAACCCACAGCCCCAGCTCCGCACTGTCTCTGCTAGAGTCACCCTTGCACCCCTCCTTGGGTCTGGCTAGAACCAGGAAAGGCCCGTGGGGCTGCCCTGGGCCCAGGAGGGACTTTAAGGCCAGCCGTGTGTCATCTCATTCCTCTTCGCCTCATGAGGGCAGGGGATGTATTGGTTAGATTCTCAGCTGCTCTAATTAAGACACCCTGAAATATAGTGGTTTTAAGCAAGACAAGCTTGTTTCTAGCTTAACCGTCTAGAGGGAGATGGTCCAGATACAGTCAGGCAGCTGTGCTCTCCTTCATGTGCACCTTCCAATTCTGGATAGAGTGGTTGCTTTAGCTCCCACCATCACATGTGCATCCCAGCCCGGGAAGAGCAGAGAATGGCAGGAGAAGCACATGCCCTTTCCTGTCAAGGGCATGAGCTAGAAATAGCATGGTCACTTCTGATTCCATCTTACTGGCCGAGCCTTAGTCATATGGCCACAGGTAGCTGCAAGGGAAGCTGAGACAGGTAGTCTTCGGCCACATGCCCAGCCTCAGCCCGAGAGTCCTGTTAGTAAAGGAAGGAGGAGAGAGGGGAGACCGGAGACAAGGAACGTCTTTGGCACAGAGGGAGGGGGATGGGGAGAGGGCGTAGGAGTGGCTAACGCAGTCCTAGGATCCTGCTCTTCCGTTCAGAGCTCCTAGAAGCACCTGCTCCTGCCCCCACTCACCGCCAGCCCAGGGCTGGGGGGCAGTGAGAGCCTGTAGTTGTAGGAGGGGTGAGACACCCCACCCGAGGCCCCCGTAGATGTTCACCCAGTGATGCCAGGATGCAGAGCCTGCCTGTGGAACGGTACATGTTTGTGCGTGTGTGTGTGTATTTATGGGCATGTGTGCATGCTTGGTGTGTACTTGTACGTGTCTGTATTGGGGTGTCCCTGTAAATATATGCTTCTGTATGGATGCGGGGGCAGGGCCCAGGCCTCCCCTTCCCCAGGACCTGGAGCCTGTGGCCACACCTCCTTGCGGCTCCCCTAACGTGACTGAGGCAGAAAGCCCTTGGGGAGCCTAGAAAGCAAGGCTAAAGGGAGTGCGAGGTCTGTCTGTCTGTCTGTCTTTCAGTCCAAGGAATGAGAATCCTCCTGACCTGAGGGCTGAACAGCTGAGAGCTCACTACCTCCCCAGCCCGTCTTGGTCCCAACCATATCCTTCCACCCCGTCCCACCCAGCCTCCAGCCAGGACTTTCTCTGGGTGTCTTATTGGGGTTTCTGATGAGTGGGGAGAGAAGGGCATCTCCTTTGCCACACCTCTGTCCAGGGAGATGTCTGGTGTGGGCGTGGTCTGGGGAGCAGGCCGCAGAGCAGCCTCTCGTGGGCAGGCATGAAGCAGGCGGAGGAGGCTCTCTGGCCTCCACTCTCCCTCCCCAAGGGCGTCTGTGACGTGCCCCCAGGGAGCCCCTCCCTTGGAGTTATAGCAACCCCCTTTCCTAGTCCGCCTTGAAGCTGAGAATTGGCAAAAGAGGTCAGAATGTCCCTGGGGCTCTAGCCCAACCCAGGCCAGGGCCTGCCTTCCCAGCCACCTCCACTCATCTCCTGGACAGGCAATCTCTGGGGGCTCCTGAATCATGCCTGAGCCCCAGCCCAGGGCCTCCCTCCTGGCAGGCTTCCTCATCCTATGCCCCTGGCACCCTCAGCTGCTGTGGGGATGCCCCCTCCCCAGGCTGGCCTCCAGTTTACCAGCTCCAGGGCAGGGGAAGGAAAAGGGGGTGAGGAGCTCAGACCTGCCAGGCCCCACCTCCCCTCTCAGACTCAGAACACTGTTCATGGTCACTGCCAAGGGGAGACCGCGCCATTGAGTGCAGAGGGTGGTCATCAGAGGGGTGGGGGGCCACGGCGTGGGGTTGATGAGTTTCACTTATACTTACATCATACACTGGGAATTTCGGGGGGCAGGGGAGCCCGGAGCCACTCCCCCAGTATGAAAGGAAATCAAACTGTGAATGGGAGTGTCGGCACACTGCCGGCCCTGTCACCATCACCAGGTGTCTTTCCCTGGGAACCACTGGCCCTATGACCTCTAGACTCAGGAGGCTCAGCCCACCCACGGGTTGTGTTGGTTCACAGGAGCAGGCATGGGGGAGCTTTGAGGGCATAGGTGACAGTTGGGGAGGGGAGATGGGACTTCCCCAAGCAGAAGGCAGGGCCCCGGGAAATGTATAATTTAAGGACGCCAATGATAATAGTATTATTTTTTTTGTAAGGGAAAATCAATATGTACATTCTGAAATCATTTTCTCTGTAAATGGTTGGATTTCATTTCACCCTTAAAGGGATGCTTAAAGGAAAAGATAATATTAATAATAAAAACAGCTACAAAGTCTGAAAGGTGCACGTGTGGGGCCAGTTTGGGGTTGCTCTGGGTCAGGGTGGGGTGCCAGGGGGTGGCTCTGGTCTTCCTAAAGACCTCCTCCCCCTGGACAGGATGGCTGCTTGGGGGAAGGGGGGGACACATGCAGAGCCCCTTCACTGAGGGGTGCAGTCTCTCACACACACGGCCAGGGGAGCATCCTCCCTCACGCCACCCACACCTAGAAATGCCAGACAACGGAAAGTGCTGGAAGGAGGGCTGCAGAAAGAAGAAGTGGCCTGGGACTGGCGACACCCACCCTCCCAGGCAGCTGGTGTCCCTTTGGAGCCGCAGGTGAAGGCCCTGGTGTCTGCCCAGAGTGGGGACACCCTGTACTCCCTGTCCTGCTCTTGGGGCAAGCAGACAAACATTCCTGCCCCAGTGCTCTTCCCCTCTATGCCTGTCACAGGTTCTTTTTTTTTTTTTTTTTTTTTAAGATTTTATTTTTTTAATTAATCCCTACACCCAACACAGGGCTTGAACTTACACAACTCCAAGATCAGGAGTCACACACTCTTGCTCCTGAGCCAGCCAAGTTCCCCCAATTCAGGTCCTAAGGTCACACAGCCACTTGCTGGCAGAAGAGGGACCACACCTGGAACTCCAGCACTGGTTCTGTCACCAGCCCTTTGGGGCAGGTGAGGATGGCAGTGTCTCTCCTGTGGACTTGTGCTCTGATGGTGCCTGGGGCTGTGGAAGGTGAGGGGCTTTCTGGAGGCTCCCTCTAGGCTCAAGGATAATGGTATTGTCCTGGGGAAGGAACCCCCTGGGGATTTTCTAAGGCAGGTCTCAGGGCTGGTGGAAGCAGGTGCACTTTGAACTCTGCCTCAGTCCCCTGTGGGGTCGCTGGGCAGCCACTGTGTTAGGTGGGGAGATCCGGGCTGGAGACAGGAGAGATAGAAGTATTGGTGGCCGGAGTAGGGGCTAATGTCCCCCTGAGCACCTACATGCATAACTCAGACACCTAGACTCCGGCCACATGCCCAAAGCTCAGGAAGGCACCTGCTGCAGGTGCTTGGGGTGGATGGGGTGGGGAGTGGAATTCCACAGGATTCTGGGACAGTGGAGGAGATGCAGACATCCCACTGAGCCAAAAGAGGGTGATGGTGACCCCTCGCCATTTAAGATCAAGTTTACAACCCTTAGATCATGTCCCAGAGTGAATCATCATCATAGACATGGACAGTATTTATTAAGTGCCTATTCCGTGCCAGACTCTGGGCTGAAAGATTTCCCTCCCCGTCATTCCCGTTTTATAGCTGAGGGTAGGGAGGCTGGGACACAAAGTGCTAAGCTGCCCTCCCGGCCTCAGCATCCACAGGGGAGGGAGAAGGGGAGGGGGGAAGAGGTGTGGACGTGGGGAAGGCGGAGAGGATGCCTGTGCTAATGTTCAAACACCAGCCGAGCTCCTAACCAAGGCAGGCATGGTGCCAGCCTGGGGGACACGGAGGGAGGACAGTCCCTGCTCTCAGGAGGATCGCAGTGGGGAGCAGCTGCAGTCAGCACCACCTCAGCACGGTCAGGTGAGGGCTGACGTGTGAAGTCATCAGAGCCTAGAAAGTTGGCCTTATGCTGTCTGGGAGCGTCGGGCACAACTCACTCCCTCACCTCGCCATCCAGAAAGGCGGGGAGTACTCACAGGCCCCGTGGCCTCGGAGGTGAGGCATATTTTCCCCAGATTCAATCTCCTGTCCATAAAATTGGTCCATAGAAACCTTTAGTGCATCTGGGGGATAACATAAAATACAGGGAAATGCTTGCAGCCTGTAAAGCTCCATCAGGATGGGGGAGACAAGAACAGTAGTGGGGGCCGTGGTCAAGAGCAACACTGAAGCACTCCCGTGGATGCTTTCCAGGTTGAGGCTTGAACTGTGGGCAGTTAAAACCCCCAACTCCTGAAGGCCTGTCGTCCCAGAGCCCACCGGAAGTCCCCATCCAGGCACCCCAAATCATGGAACATCCACAAATCTCTGATTATAGTTCAAAGCAGTAAAAAGCCTTGTCCGGGGCCAGGCCTCTGGGCACATCCTTGACCC